CTGAACCTTCTTCAAACGATGAGGAAGGAAACACTGAGCCTCTCCTTGATAACGAGCCTCTGGTGGACTTTCAGTTGACAAACACTCACGAACAACACGTTAAAGGATTGAACATCGCTGGCAATGGCACACTCGACGACACCCAATTGAACAAAAGCACGACGCCTCCTCTCGGGGTTCGTTCGTACGGAGCCCCTCCGGCGTACGGTCTTGACCGCAGCCTTGCCGTTCCGACCGAGGCTTGGGTGCCTGCTCCGACGCCCTCGTCGACGTCTGTGACCGGCCCTCCCTTCGCGGAGCTGGGTCAAGGTGGGTCTGCGAGTCAGCAACCCGCTGCGGATCAAAGTACCGCTTAAGACGTCCAACATAGAACGTCGGGTGCGTCGTCATTGACGTTGGCATGTCGATGGTGTACGACGCACCATGTCTGACCAGGACTGCAAATGGTCGGATGAAGCGTTGCTTCAGCTTGTTGCTACCGGCAGAGCTGACAGTATGTTCATCGTGTCTAGTAACACTAAGTCCCCTACTTGAAATACACTTAAGTTTCCTCTTCCATGTTTGTCGGAGTACTCCTTTTGTTTATCCTGGGCCGCTGCCATGGCATCGCGGACCCTGCTGACAACGCTCAGCTTGGTATCCATAAAGGATTCCACTAGTTTTCGCAGCGAAACTGGTCTCACATGCGAGACCTGAAAGGAAAGGGCTTTCCGAGCCTCTCCCCCACTTAGAATATAGGCGTCAGTGTCTCCTCGAAGAGTGAGAGGCACTCTGGGGTGACGGAAGCCGTTCGAGTAGAGCGACGTGAACCCCGTGGACGTGTGCACCGCGTTGTTGAGCGCAAACTCAACAACTGGAAGCTGCGTCGACCGCGTACGTGGTGCTGCCGCGCACACACGCAGAGTGTCCTCCAGCACTCGATTGACGCGCTCTGGTTGGCCGTCGGTCTGCGGATGGTCCGCAGTGGACATCTGCAGACGAGTTCCCAGTAAAGGGAGCAGCGTTTTCTAAAACGCGGCAGTGAAGCGCGGGTCTCGGTCCGAGACAATCGTCTCCGGGAGACCGCGATAGCGGAACACGCCATCGACGAACAACCTTGCGGTTTGTTCGCCCGTTACAGTGACGGGAACTGGAGCAAGATGTACCATCTTGCTCAGCCGACACACGAACACCAAAATTCCGGTGTTGCCGTGTCCGTCGGCGGGAAGCCCAAAGATGAAGTCAAGACTCATCGACTTCCAACAATCAGCCGGTACGGGCAGGCTCTGTAGTGGAGCCGAAGAGTGCCCTGCGGGTTTGACCCGCTGACATGTTTTACATGTCTTGACGTACCGGGCGACCCACTTGTACATGTGGGTCCACCAGAAGGACTGAGAGACCGACAGAAAGGTCTTCTCGCGGCCCAAGGGGGCGCCTCCGCGAGGATGTCGAACTTCAGATCCTCGTCGTTGGGTACGACCACCCGTGGAGGATCAGTGGGCTCCACCCGATAATAGAGGAGGCTCTCCTTCAACTCATATCGGTGGAGCCGTGAGCGCTGTCGCGACGAGAGCCAGTCGGACTTCGCGCTCGTTCCGGCCTTAAGGAACTTGACGATAGGCGCGACAGCCTCATCGTCCCGATACGCCATGCGTATCCGATCAAATAGATCCGTTGTCACCCGCGTGATGTGGGCCAACTCATAGTCGGGACGCCGAGAGAGGGCGTCCGCAAGCACGTTGAGCTTGCCCGGCTAGTATTCGACGCGGAAGTTGTATTCCGCGAAGAAGGACAGCCACCTCGCCATCCTTTGGGAGAGGTGAGGCGAGTTAGTCGCCGTCCTCAAGGACGCGTGGTCTGTGTAGATCACAAAGGGCCTAGAGCCCAGAAGGTGAACACGGAACTTCACAAGGGCATATTTCATTGCCAGGAGCTCCTTGTCGTGGACAGGGTAGTTCCGTTTGGCGGCTTTGACCTGCCGGGACTGGAACGAGATGACTCGTTCCTGTCCAGCCGTATCGTCCTGCAGCAATGCACTCCTGATGGCGTAATCGGAGGCATCGCAGACGACGCTAAACGGCTTCGTCTCGTCCGGTAGATCCAGGACAGGGGCCTCTTGGAGACTGGCCTTGATGCTGTTAAAGGCATCCTGGTGCTCTTGCTCCCAGTGCCAGTCGACGTCCTTCTGAAAGAGGCCCGACAAGGGCTTAGTGAAGCCCGCATGCCCTGCTCTGTACTTGTGAAGGTAGCTGGCCAAGCCCAACCACTTTCGAAGATTCTTCTGGGATCGAGACGTTGGCTATGCTGCTATGGCCTTGACCTTTTCTGGGTCAGCCCGACCGCCCATGTTGCTTACGAAGCAACCGAGAACCTTTATCTCTGGTTACGCGAAGACGCACTTGTCGATGTTGGCGTAGAGCTTGTTCGCTCGCATCACATTTAACACTCGACGGAGGTGTCCTCGATGCATTTCAATGGCCGTCTTGCCTCCCTTGACACGGCTATGGACGAATATGTCGTCGAAGTATGTCTGTACGAAGGTACGTAATGGGCGGAACAATTGCGTCACCAGGCGATTGAGCGTCGCCGGGGCGTTAGACAAGCCCTACGGCATGACGAGCTACTCCCAAAGCATGCCGCTTGGGATGCTCACCGGTGAGCGGGATGTCGCTATCTCGTATCAGGACCTGGTAGTATCAGTCTACCAAAACCAGCGCACTGTACAGTACGCTTCCGGCCATGTTGTTTAACAACGCATCATTTCGTGGGATTGGTGTTTGGGCCGACACCGTTGCGTTGTTCAGCTTGTTATAAGCGTAAACTAGACGCCACTTTCCTTTCGGCTTCCGAACGCAGAAAGTTGGTGTCGAGTGCGGGGATTTCGACTCCCGCACCATGCCTGCCTTCGCTTTCGCGGCGAAGAAGGCATCAATGACCTCGCACTGTTCGCGCGGGAGAGGCCATTGCCTCGTGACACAATACTTTGTGCCAGGCACTAGATCAATCTCATGCCGTACGCCTCGATCTGGTCGAAGTTGGGTCCGTGGGTGTTTGCTCACCACGTCCGCATACTCCGTCACCAAAGAACGCACCGGACTCTTGGGGCTCTTAAGGATCTCGGAACCCAAGCGCGTCTGACGCTGCTTGTTCAGGTCTTCCAGGACGTCCTCGTCCAAGACAGTGGAGGCGTTCAGCTCCTCCCGAGTGGTCTCAGGTCTCATGAGTACCATCTCGGCAATCGCTTCAGCCTTGAGGCTGGCCAGGAAGAACTCGACCGTCATTTCCTCGAGGTTCAGTATCTCTCCAGCCGCTGGCAACGGTTCCAAGTGGACACCAGATGCCTTGACGGATAAACCGGTCTCGCCATCGAAGATGTGATAACACTCTTCCACCGGCCTTCATCGGAGGAGCCCGGGCCCTGGACTCCGAGTCGCTTGAAGCAACGTCGATCTAAACGATGTTAAGATCCGACTTGTGGAAGCGGCGGCGTCGTCGTCGACGGCGACCGTGACGTGGAGCTTTGCTGCCCACGTCTGGGGATGTCGGAGCACCGACATCCGAGGCGCTCGTGGCCTCGTGTGGTACTGTGGTGCCCACACAGAAGACGTGTTCGACACCTTCCTCTTCAGTTAAGATCGGGGCGACCGTGTGTGGCACTATGTTTCCCACACAGGAAGCGTGTCCGACGCCTTCCTCTTCAGTTAAGGTCTGGGCGACCGCGTGTGGCACTGTGTTACCCACACAGGAAGCGTATTCGACGTCTTCCTCTTCAGTTAAGGTCTGGGCGACCGTGAGTGGAACTCGGTTACCCACTCTGAACACGCTGTTCTCACTGTTCGTGACAGCTGCAGCTGTCTGCGGAACTAAGTTACCCGCCTGTGGACCTAAGTTACCCACTTGGCCAGCGCCCCTTCTGGGCGCTGCCACCATCAAAGCATCCTCGGAGTCGTCATATACGTCGACGACCCCCAAGCATCTGCCGGATGCTTTGAGTCCTTGCGGGCGCCCCGGGTTCTGACAGAGGTGGGAACATGACTCATCAATGCTCTGTCGGACGTCGCAGGGCAGCAGGCACCGATTGCCTTGCCTCGCCCGTCGATCCAGGGCTCGTGCTTCTCAAGCCAGGGCATGCCCAGGATCGTATCATATGGATCCATATCAAGAACACTGAACTGTTCGAGGCTGTCAAAGTCTTCAAACTTGACGGCCAGATCCACTTGGCGTTGGGAACAGTGACGACCTTCCCGTCGGCCAGTCGCACTGACACCGTCCCGTTGCCCTTGCTTTCTCTCAAAGCATCGGACAAATTGTTGCTGTTGCGAGCAACCGTCTGGCGGCGTGCGAAATTCTTCGACGCCTTAGAATCGATCAAGATTCGAAAGGGGTGATCGTATCCCCGTACACATCCGTGTACTACGAGCAACCCGCCGCTGCTCTTCGCCGATTCGAGAGTGCGAAGCCTCTCAGGGGCTAAGTCCCCGTGGAACGCGCCACCCGCGCACCCATCACGAAGACTTAGTTCCTCCCCAGTAGGGCGCCCCGCCCCTACTGGTTTCCAGCGTTCCCCTGTCCCCGGGATCCTGGCTTCTACCAGCGACCCTTGAGGGCGGGCTTGGGGAAAGACCGTCGGCGGAGTCTTTCCGCGGGACAGTCGCGCTTGAAGTGGCCCATCTTCCCACAGCCGAAGCAGCGGATGTCACGCTGTTCGGCGGACCCGAGCTCCATGGGAACTGGTGCGTTGGGGCTAGTTCGACCGGGAGTCGACAAGGAACGCCCAGGCCATGCTGAGGCCGGCGTACGCGCCTGGTGATGGCTGTACTCTTCAGGAAGAGTCGACGGCTAGATGCGTACGTGCCAAGTCTAATGGGTGTTTATTCAGCCAGAGAGGTCGGTATTCAAGGAAACGACGTAGTTGTGGGCATCGCGGACACGGGATTGTATCTGTACCATGACCAATTCGATCAAGATGAACGCGATATTTTCGTATAAAAGTAATTAAGCTATCGGCGCGCAAAGTCGTCATGTACAATGGCTGGGCAAACAAAGCGGATGAAGCCGAAACTATCACTTGTGATCACGGTACTCACGTCGCTGGACTGTTAGCTGGCAGCTTAATTGGCGGTAAACATGCCAATCTCGGCATTGGCGACCTGGCACGGATAGCATTGATGGACATCAGGACCCAGGGCGAAACCTGCGCAGGTCAGCTGCATTGTGCCGTGTCACTAGTCACATTTGCAGACGCCAGCGACTTGCTAGAGAGTCAAATTGACGCTGGTGCCAAGATTTTCTCATTATCGTGGGGCACACCTGGGTCGGATTACATCTCACAAGCCAGAGATTTGGACGCTTTCATTTATGAAAACCAAGACGTCCTGGTGGTTGTGGCGGCAGGCAACATTGGCGAGTCTTCGACTTCTGGTCAGCGCACCATTTCATCTCCATCCGGTGCCAAAATCGTAATATCGGTTAGCGTATCGCTGAACGCTGCAGCTTCTTTCACAGACTTTGGTTGCCCTGATGTATTCAATGAGCGCACAGTTGCATCGTTTTCCTTTGCAGGGCTCACAACGGACGGGAGGTTGAAACCGGATGTTGTTGCGCCGGGTATGAGCCTCTTGTCTAGCCAATCAGAAGCACCGGGATCTACTAGAGAAAGCTCAGCCATTGCTCACTCCAGGGCACGTCACAGGCCGTGTGGCCTGGTGATCACTGGTGTCGCTGTACTTCTACATAACCGGCCATTTGCAACCGAGGTTGTATTTTTATCCGTATCACATTCTTATTGGCGGATCAGGTGCAGTAGTCACAGTTCAAGCTCTCGCGAACGCAATACATTTGCAAATAAAACAGTATCACTTGCAAAAATAGTTGCACTGGGGGTTTGTATTTTCACTGGTTCTCGCAACTTGCGCATACAGAAAAAACAAGTGGTGGCTCTCAGTTGGTTGCAAAAATCCCGCCACCCTCACAAGTCAAGGCTCCATGCTGCTGGAGCACTGACTGCCCGCTCGGACTATGCTGCTACGTACTTAGAGAGGGAAATTATGTTGTTCTCGAAGAGCTACTGGTCGATCAAGTCGGACTTGCAATTAAGAAATCGAGGAGGGAGGAAGTTGCGAAGGTGCTCGCTCTGTCGATACTTTGGGCATCTCTCGTCCCGGATGGAAGGTATGATTATGACCTATTTCCAATTGTGCTCAAGCAACGCATTGTACGAGCCTACGTCAAGATTGGATGAAACGTCGCTGTGAATCATGTGAAGTGTGTGCCCTTATCCGTGACTTCGGCTTGTTGAGTGTAACGTATCCCTAAGTGTACCCTGGTTACGTGAAGTGTGACACTTCACACTGCAGGTGTATGACACGTCATACTCCGGGATATTTGGTACAAGGTACCAAGGTCGCTCAAAGCCAACCATTAGCCAAACGACATTGCATTTCTATGGGTAACTTATAGCTTGTATTAAACCCAAGCTTTATCTACCTATAAATATACTCAGTTTACATTCTACCTTAACCCCTTCAAACCGGCTGATTTTTCCTTTCCTTAAATTGCATATGCAAGATAGTTTGACTTGGTGTTTGTATACTTTTACTTGTTACAGAGATGGTCGACGAACCGAACGTTGTAATAACCGGTGCAAACTGCATATTAACGTGCATACACGGCTGCAAGTTTAGGTTCTAAACTGCATTATTCATTCCATTTCCGTAACATAGATGCTGACTTCCGGTCGTCTGGTAGTACAGCGATAGGCGGGTGCAGAAACGGTTGCAATTTTAGAGATATTTGAATGTCGAATTTTAGAAACTGTCCAATTGCGTACATATATTGAAGTTTTCCCATCCAAGTGGCGAGCAATCAAAAGTTCAGTTTTTATGGCTCATACAAATATGAAGCCTATAATATAATCTGAGCATGGGCTTCCGGCTCTGGCCTCACGGACTGCATAGTAAGCAAAATGAATCGACGGTTGCACTTTATTCTCAACCTGCAAGAGATATAGAAAGACAATTTTCACTGCAGCCATTACTTCGCAAAAACACAAATACTGATGATAAAATGCATATTCACCCTTTGGTATCCTGCATATGCATGATACTTAATCAGCAGCATCTCTCAGTCTTTTGCGTGATCCACCACCTTTCGTTGGAGTTGCTGGGCGCATACGGATGCGGCGTTCTTGGTTCGAAGGTCGCATCTTTCCTTCACTCCATTCCTTGTGCCACACGTCAAAGCAGGTTGTCAAGACTCCGCGAATCACATGCCTCGGGCGCATACACAGGTAGATAGGCGCATTACCATCGCACTCGGAGCAGTAGTACGCCGTCGTGTGGGGCTTCGCGCTGCATCAGAGAGCAAACTTTACACGCACGCTGACGCCGCTTCGGCTGCGTATCTCGGTTCCTCCATTCATCCACCAACTGTGCTACATGAGTAGAAGCGTGCCCCGCCACACCAGAACCCGACGTACCGGCGATCTGCTCCCTCTCACAAAACGTGTTTCCGTCGAACATGTCCACTTCTTGGAGCTGGGTGAGCTGCAAGTGGAGGCGCTTCATGAATTTAACGTGCGTCAGCGGCTTTGAAGTCTTGTGCTTCTGGTAGGCCTTGTGTACAATGTAGCTGTTCACTATAGCGATATCAATAAGCCCCAGCACGAGGCTCTTGTAATACTTCCGAAAAGTCACAGCTGGAGGGAGTATCTTTGCAATCGGAGCTGGTCATGTACGTCGACACCCCCCACAAACTGATGGTAGTCCTTGAGAACACGGGGGGCGACGACCTCGTGGTGTTCACCAGCTTTGTCTTTCCGAACGACTCTATCCTCATCCACACTCCCACCCGTAGCCAAGAAGTGCACAGGTTTTGAATCCATCCAGCAAATTGCGCGTAGGCCAGGTACTTTAGAAGATTCCACAATCTTACACGTCCCCCGATCCACATCTCGTGGCCGTGTTTTCTCTTACAAATGATCTCTTTGCAGTACCCAACGCGATTTGTCATTATAGCGCCCACACAATAGTACCCCATCAGTAGTAGCTGAATCAGGAGAGCAACCGAGGTGTAGAAGCGATCGATGACAACCAGTCTCTTTGCGGGCAACGGAGCGTCACCGAACACTTCGCGGAGGTTTCGAACGACGGCGGCAGGGCCTTCCTTCTTGTCGAGTTGGGCAGCGTCGCTTGCATGATGTTTCTTGCCGCACTATACTTCAAACCTGCATAATGCAGTTTAAACAGGAACATACTTTCATTAGTAAAGTGAATAATACAGGATAAGAAAATTTTAGAACCAAAAAAAACACCTGATGCAGTACGCCGTGTGTGCACTGCACAACATAAAGAGCTTCGTTCCCCACTTGTGCGGTTTTGCTTTCATGTAGACGCGCATCTTGTTGAATCTGCTGCGGCTTGGAAGCATGGTATCATCAAATGAAAGCTCTGCAGGTGGCACGTATCCTTCGCGAAACGTCCGCTGCAGCACTTCAACAACCTTGCGGATCTTCCAGGCTCGATCCGTGGTCGCTCTTGGGTCGTCGTTATCATTGAAGTGTAGATTTCTGCAGATATTCATGAATCGATCTCGTGCCATCACAGAACTGAACGCTCCACGTGGAATCGCCCCCTCGTCGGTGGTTTTCCAGTGGTTTGCCAGCTTTTCTCGGTTTGGGCAAATTGTTCACGCGATCAGTAGTCCCACGAAGCGACACAGCTCGTGTGGTTTGATTGGAGGAACTGCTTGAAGCTCTTGTAGCACATCGCGCCGTGTCTTCTTCTTCGTGGCAGGATTCGCTTGACAGCGTCGCTTGTGGCGCTTGTAGGCATCGTCAACACGAGCGTGGAGCATATCTCTTTGGTACTTGTTTGAACAGACAGCAACGTGCTGCCACAATGCAACCGGCATGAAGTAAAAGAACAGCGCCATATGCGAGTCCCCACGATGCAGTACTTCAGTAGTGGGTCCGGAATAGCCTTGGTGAGGTCCCGGGTAGCTACTAGCGCCTTCAACAGGAACGTAAGGCGTCTGTAACTCCTCATACACATCCGGTTCTTGAATTGGGCCCCATCCATTAGTCGAAAACTCTCTCAGTGTTCTGTCCAGCAAGTTACCCGCCAACACAGCGTCGGTGCCTCCAAATCCATCCAGAAATTCTTTTGCCAGCGCAATATCCATCTCGTCTCGTTCAGGGTCCGGCTCCGATCCATCGGCCGCACTGGCATTTGATACCCAGCCACTGCTATCAGACTGGGTATCTGTGACAACGTCGTCCCTTGCCGCTTCATCGCCAGATTCAAGTGCATCATAGTTGGGGTCTCTTCCGCCCGGGGCGTTCACATTCAACCGGTCAGTTGTTTCTGCAAGTATATCTTCGTAACACAAGCATAAAAAATCGTTATCATGAATAATCAGTATAAGGTATCATGAATATGCAGCATGCGCACTGAATCGCATTGTAAGACATACCCGTTTCGTTGTTCTCTTCAACAGACTCAACGCTGGAATACCCTTCGTCCCCCGATTCAACATTTTCCTCGTCACCTCCATGAGGACCTGGCAACACGATGGGGGTTTGAGCGACGACTTGAGTAACGGGTTCAGCTACTGGCACTGGCGCTTTTTCTTCATCAGATATGGCGTCGTCAACTATAGTGCATTCACAAGCGTTAGACTGCATCAATATGCATGTGGTCGATGAAATATTCAGGATAGCGTACGGGCTTCTTCGGGCGGATGTACTGCATGAGCTAATGCATAATGCTAGTTAGTTATCCTGCATATCCTGCATATCATATCATGAATATGCAACTGGTACTCACATGAGCGGCGACGTTTCTGCTTGTCCGTGGCAGGCGGCTTGGGCACTTTTCGAGTGCGCTTCACTTGCGTTTGTCGCGTCAAAGGCTGCTGAGTACCTGAAGAAGGTTGAAGTGGAGACGTGGGCTGGGTGGTGGCCGCTTGAGCGGGTGGTGATCTTGTTGTGACAGCAGGATCAGCAGGAGGTGCTGGTGGCGTCTGGAATGGTCCAAAACCGGTAGACGAAGGCTTTTTGGAAGCTGTAACATCATACAAACAACTGGTTAGGCTGTGTAGCCAGCAATCGCCACCATCTCGCTTACCACCACTGTAGTACTCCAACAGCTCTTCCTCCCCAAGAAAAAAGTCGATGCCTTTTGTGCCGTTAACATGTCCGCCAGGGCGAACGTACTTCCATCTCGGATCTAAGTCCATCGCTCGCGGTCTTACAGATGTCCATCCCTGCTTCTTCAGCTCCATCCACGCCACACCAAACGGGATGTTTTGACTGCTCACGTACTTGCCTCGGACAGCAACCATTTCATGCAGAGAGCCTGGCTCCGTTCTTTTCCAGCGCGAATTCTCGAGTGAGTGGCTGGAGAGGGAGCGAAAAAATTACCTTTGGAAAATAATGTAAAACTCATGTTTACCACATAAACTTTTATATCTTATATTCAAATTTAGAGAAATATTATCTGTCTCGTCGCTTGTTATGTGTATCTTCTATGCTACCACACGAACAGAGAGCCTGCACTTGTAGGGTTCTTTTTGACTTAGATTTTGTATAGCCGAGGATTTAAAAAAAAATAACTATACAAACTTTAAGTCATATTTGAGCTTAACCTGCATTATGCAGGTTAAGCATTTTTGAAAAGCTGCATATGCAGGCTCCCGGTTTGAAGGGGTTAAATAGGTCACTTCGCTCTCTTTTGATAAAGAGGGGACATGTGAACTGCCGTTCACTGAGAGTTTGTATACTCTCGGAAGCTTACTTCCTCAAGCGCAAGGTGCTGTGTGACCCCGTCACATTGAGATTCGTGATGCCCCTACCGATGGCAACGAGGCTGAGCAAATACATAGAACCCAGAGCAACATTTTGCGGACAGTGCCCGTAAAGACTTCGCTGCACTCCATTTCCAGCTATTTAGCCTGCAACGCTAAATTGCTGGCATGTTGCGAAACCATCAAAAGGAATTGGCTGTCTACCGGCGTATTGCTCTATAGCCTGTTGCAAGGAGAGTGTCGCCCAATACGATCGTCGCCACCGAAGCATGCACAGATGGCAGTGCTGCGCACGAAGCTCACCACGCGGTACTGTCGAAAAGACCGAAGGATCTGTACGAGTGGTGGGGGGGTACGAGTTCGGCTTAAACGGCTTAAAGCCAGCGAAAGCGTTTACCGGTGCCGAGCGAGGAGCCAACAAGTTTGCCTACTCAGGGTGCAATTTTTCTGGGACGTAGTCTCTGGATTCGTTCGCGCAGGATTCACTAGTGATGTTGTTATCGACAAAGTATACGCAGCATACGGACGAAAGCTTCCTGTGACTAAAGTTTAGCTGCTCTTCGCCGAGACAAGCAACAAGGTGGTCATTTGTCATTTTGATTGTAGCTCTTAGTGAGTCAGATTCAGTAAGAAAGCATTTTTTTCAATCACATCGTGGTTGCACTCTCTGTTGCACGTTTGGCGGGTATTTATACAGTATTGAGGAATGGGTGTCATGAGACTTCAAATCTTCAAAAGTGGAGGACTTCGCGTGATTTCATCATCCTCCTAAACCCAAACCCAGACCTTCCTGGACATTAGTCATAGGGTGAGCGAGGTTTAGTCATGCCACTAATGATATGAGTGGCTCCGAGACGGCTAGTGGAAGAACGGGGCCAAGAACCCAGCGTATGCCATGAAAACGGTACCAGCTTTGCTTTGAAGGCAGATTTTCTCCAACGGAGAATGGGTACACTGCCGGCTAGTGGTGGTGTCTCCTATAAATATACTCAGTTTACATTCTACCTTAAATAGGTCACTTCGCTCCCTTTCGATATAAGGGGACCTGTGAACTGCCGTTCACTGAGAGTTTGCATACTCTCGGAAGCTGACTTCCTCTAGCGCAAGGTGCTGTGTGACCCCGTCACAGCCAGAGCTTTTGCACTTAGACTTTGCACTTGCACATTTGAGAACCCTAAAAATTGTGTGGCCTCTTCAATTTTTGTAATTTTGGAATTATAGTTTAAGTCAGAAAGACAGGTGCCTGGGACCCAAATGTATTGAAAAGGCTGAGTGTAGCCATACAAAGAGGTAGGAAAAAGCAGCAAGTTTTTCTTACAATACTGCTAGTACTGTAGTAAGTCTGAATGAGGCCCCATCGGGTTTCGACAGGGACTAATCTCGACTAGTAGGCTTGAATAAATGTTTTCTGACAGGTTACAATACAGCTTCATCGTACAAGTTTAGCAATGTATTTTGTCTTCATCTTTGGTGGATGGGTCAGCCTACAATATTTTTTTTTGTGAAAAGGAAGCTGCTTTTAAAAACTGCTTTAAATGAGCACTCAAACGATCCGAAACTGTTATGACAGGGTAAGCGAAATCGCTGGATTATCTCGGGACTCTGGATAAAATCCAGAGAACATCCCCTTCTTTTCCCGCGTGCAACCTTATCTCATTCCAGAATCAGCGGCTCGAGAAACTATGGTTACTTTGTACTGTGTCGTCGTTGGTGTGGCTGGGAGCGCGTTCCCTGTGGACATTGACGAGAACAAGTCCGTGGGGCACTTGAAGGACGCGATCAAGGAGAAGAACGCATCGACGATCACATGCGACGCCAAGAACCTGCAGCTCTTCCTGGCGATGGCGGGGGGCAACGCATGGCTATCGAGCCTCACTGAAGATGTGAAGAAGCTGAAGAAGGGCGAGAAGACTGCTCTCGTCAAAGTTCTTACGCAAGAAGAAAAGGAGCTGCAGGGAGAGGATCCGATTTCTGAGTGTCTAAAAGACATGGATCCCCCGAAAGTGAAACAGATTCACGTGCTGGTGGCGTTGCCTCCTGGGACAAGTAGTGCGCCTATTTCTGATGGGACGGACTTCTGGCTGTCGAGATTTCAACATTGTGAAGTTGCAAAACTTACGCTACTGCCGACACGCGGAGATCTAAATGAATTTATCGGACAACCTCTCCCTGTAAAGATTGGGTTACCGCAGTCTGTGTTTCAAGCTTGGTCGAGTCCATTGATACTAGGCCAACCTCTTCGAGATAAATTGTTCGAGCTAAACGACATTTCGCCGTGCGAATTTTTAAAAGATTCGGTGTTTAGCGCTGCGTTCCTGTACCCGCAGGTGGATGGGGATGCCACAGAGAGTGCATTTCATTATTTCTGGGACTCAATTATCCGTGTGGTGCTCGGGTTTGTGTTTAGGCGTGCTTACATCAACCGGGATTCGAGCAGGAAATCCTCGTCAGGTTTGAAGCGACCCGACTTTTTGTTTGCTTTGGATCATATCTGTGTTTTTCGTGGTGAGGAGAAAGAACCTCGTACTTCTATCACTGTGCCTCGTGAGGAGCTCTCTAAAAAGCTGGTGTGGTCTTACGGTGGAGTGCCGTATGTGTTTGGCTATGCTGCGTCGGGCTTCGAGCTAGAATTATTTGCTATCTATCAAGACGTCACGGGCAACGTTAAAACCCACCTTATTGGAGGGTTTAACTTGCAGCATGCGCCGGAACGTTTTCGACTTGTACTGGCACTTCTGAATTTGTGTCTGCTTTTCCCGGCAATTGTGCAAAACTGTCCGGCCTCGGCAGGGACCGAGTTCATGGACATCCATCGCGCCAATGGCGTCAAGGCGCGGTTGAGTCCGATTTTCGTCGATAAGATCTTTCATACACAAGAAGAGTATCGTCGCGTGAAGCAGATCTACGATTCTTTGAAAGCTTATGGGGTTCCTTGTGCCGATGCAGTCGTCACGGTGGATTCAGACCAATTGAGGTTGACACTTAAGCCCCGCGGCATTGAGATGAAGCCATGCAGCTTGAGTGAACTGTTCGTCGCGCTCGGGAACGTTCTCGAGGCCCTTGTAGTCCTCCATCGCAACGGGTGGATGCACAGAGACATCCGTTGGTCTAACGTGATCAAGCATATCGACCGCGTTGAATGGTTTTTGATCGACTTCGCTGATGCAGCTCAAAGTCCGCAGAAATATCCCAGCGGCGATCACTTGACGCACGACGAACACGCTTCAGACATTTTTATGGAAGGTGGATCCCACACGACTGCGGTTGACTTATGGGCCGTGGGATACCTGGTGAAGACAAGTAAGATTGAACGGGAATGGACTGCGGAGCCCGAAAGAGCGCTTTTCCTAGATCGGTTGATGAACCCAGACCCGAGTGCTCGGCCGACGGCAGACGAAGCCTTACAGCTTCTGTCACGTTTTGAACGTGAAGCTGCTGAGCAGGAATCACAGGGGCAAGGGTGTGCGCAAGAAGCACAGACGTGCCTGAATTTTTACATCGCTATGGCACTACCATTACGCGCTCATACATACTTTCGAATGTATGAGAAATCTCTGTTGACGAGAGAAACTCGTTTGACACACGCAGCAGCTATCATGCGGTGCGAATGTGGCCACTGGTTGTCGGATACGCCCGCCTTCACGGCGGCCACCCCGATACTATCTATAGTCGGTTAAGTACACCATCGCAGCCTTCTCTATTAATCCCTGAACGCTGGAAATCGTCGCGGTCTGCACCGTCGCCGGCATGTTTGCGTTGAGGGGACGGTGCCAAAGCTGTCAATATCACTCATGATTGTGCCGTAGTCGGTGAGTTGAGTGGTAGAATGAAAAGCCGGCCTTTTGCATCATAATAAGCTCGGAGCAGCGGGAACATCGTGGCACTTGCGCAAACGCCGTCCACGCCGTGCCATTCCACTCCGTTATGTCGGATTGTTATTCGTGGCGAGCCTGTGCATCACGCGGTTCTTTATCACTTGGACGGATTTGCTGTGGTGGCCATAGTGGTGGCCAGCGTCTTGTACGACCACGTGACCGCATCGGCCGAGTTAGCAAACTGACCCTAGAGTATTGAGCGAGAGAGCACGATTACTTCTACGAACTATTAAATGTAGTACATTAGAGCCTTAAGTTGATGCTCCTAGCAGCCAGAGGTGCAAGCATGCAGCTGGTTACTACTACGTAGTACTAATATCCCGCTACTGATGCCAAGCAACTTGGCAAAACTTCATGCGGACGAGTCAGTGGTGTTGAATTAAGCAGGCCCAGTTTCCATGATGGAAAATGGAATCCATCATTCTGACGACCAGACAGTCCGGCAGACTGACCGTCAAGAACTTCTCGAATTGTATCCAGTCACTGCAGTCCAGAGACACTGCCAGTGTGTCCAACAACAAAAAATCGAAGAGGTACTAATGGGCTGTCCGTCAACATGGCGGCTGGATTAGAATGTAAAGTTCCAACCACACTATGATTCGGTTAATAAGAAGAGCGCTGACCGTGTACAGACTCAGAAGGAAACGCTGCAAGTCGCAGCATGGTGCGTACCGAATTACCTTAGTTATGCATTACACCCAATCTGCAGTGCAGAGACCAGAAATTGCGTGTCCCGGCTATCGGTATCTTCGAACAAACAGTCTATTTAAATTTGAGCAAGTTCACGAAAAAGATCATCAAAGGGATCGACGCCATGAATAAATGAGGATACGGCGGCAATTAAATTTGCTAGCTGGTAAATCAGGGTAGAACGTGTGAATTGCGGACGCAATACTACCGTTCTTGTCTAGATACTCTAGTACCCTCAGCTTGTGAGAAGCAGTGTACGCCGTAATGGTGTTCGTTGGTACTTGGCGGCCCTTGCCACCAGGTAGGCGAGGCCTCCCCTTTGGGCGTTTTCGTTGCGTTGGACTCATCTGCGGCTTTGAGAAGTGTGACCAGTACTAGATAATGTACGCAAATTACTGGTTGTAATTGATAACTAAGGATGCACGGCTTCTTTTCCCACTCAGCGTTTGGCGGCTTCTGATTGGCCACATTGAAGTGTAATTGATAACAAAGAGTAATTCATAACAAAGGTTATTCGGTAGTGACGGCAGGAAGTTCCGGATCTTTGCCCAAAAGAAACCTCAGACGCAACAAATTTTGCCGTTTACACTTGGGTTTTGTCTCAGAAAAAAAACAACACGACATATGCCTTTGTCGAGCAGAAAATTAGATATGCCCATACTCTACCATAACATAAAATCTCTGACCTCCGACCGTAACATAAAATGTGGTTTTAACAAAAATACTGCATGTACTTGTTAAAATTTATGCATTTTATTTTTAAATATTTGCCATTTTATTTTAAGTTTAAAAAAAGAGGGAAAAAAAGTTGGGACGGCGAGCGAGTGGAGTGGCGGCAATGGTGGCGACGGTGGCGAGCTAGAGTGGAAGAAGCGTGAGGGGGCAGAGTGAATGAGGTGGTGAGCAAGGGTGGCGACGTCCGCGACAGTAGAAGGGCGGCATGCGGGTGGCGGATACTGCAGCAACGGTAACAGCGGGGAGGCGGCAGTGGGTGGATGGTGTGGAGAGCCGGGAAGGTGAGGAAAGCACTGCTGGCGATAATCGAGCTGGACGTGGACTGCGCGTTGTTTGACAGCGCTGCCGTGTGGTCGGCGTTCTGTTCCGTGGACGCGGAAGTTCGGGCGTTTGCGCAAGTGTCACGATGTTCCCGCTGCTCCGAGCTTATTTAGATGCAAAAGACCGGCTTTTCATTCTACCACTCAACTCACCGACTACGGCACAATCACGATGAGTGATATTGACAACTTTGGCACCGTCCCCAACCGCCATGTTGACGGACAGCCCATTAGTACCTCTTCGATTTTTTGTTGTTGGACACACTGGCAGTGTCTCTGGACTGCAGTGACTGGATACAATTCGAGAAGTTCTTGACGGTCAGTCTGCCGGACTGTCAGGTTCGGGAAATATTTGGCCGCCTGTGATGCGAATTTCATCATTAATATAGCGCCGATCGAGAAATTCGGGGCAATCAGCCCCCCTATGCCCTGCATTTGACACTGCTTGTCCAACTCCTCGATTTGTTCCGGAGTGAAACCTGTGGCGCCAACCACCGGCCTGACGCCGAGCGAAATGGCCAGCTGCGTATTGGCATTAACCGTTTGAGGGGTAGTGAAATCAACAAGCACATCCGCTCCTGATGTTTTCAGAGCATGCTCCAGATCATTCTCAATCAGAATGCCGGAAGCCGGCAGGCCCGCCAGCGTTCCAGCATCTACTCCGGTTTGTGAACGGTTAATTGCGCTGACCAGCTGCAGTTCCTCGTCCTGCAAAACCATTTTTATGACTTCCCGGCCCCATTCTTCCGGCTGCTCCCGCAACCGCTACCTTTATTTGATCAGCCATTTTGAGCCCTCCCATTATGCTAGTTTGATGAGTGATCGATATAAGTCTTAAAACGCTGCTCAAGCTTCTTTAAATGTTCGGATACAGCATCGTCCTGCATTAAAGCCGACGCTTCCCAAATTGCTCTCAAGGCCTTGCGGTAATCTTTTGTTTCACCATATGACAAAGCAAGCCATACCTGGGTTTCCGCAGACAGGGGATCCAGTTTGGCCGCTTCCTCAAGCAAGGATGCCGCTTCCGCCGCTTCCCCGTAATCGTTATCCTGTCTGAACTGGAGCTTCTTCACAGCCCGCCGTGTAAGCTCCTTAGCCTGAAGTCTCTGATAATGAAGCCTGTAAGTCGGTTCGCCGGGATCCAGTCTGATCGCTTCCCTGGCATTATGCATGGCCAAATCCAGTTTATCGCTGCGCGCGTAAGTAATGGAGCAGCGGTAACGGATGTCAGCTCGTTCCGGTTCCAGGATTATGGCCCGTTCAAACCAGCTGATGGCCCCTTCAAAATCGTTATCCAAGATGCACTTGTACGCCTTCTTTAAAAGATCATCCGCTTTCATATGCTGACCCTCCCTTTGGTTCGGGCTATGGTACAGCATATGTAAT